TAGCCAAAGAGGAAAGGAGAAAATGAAGTGCCTTACAGGGCTTAAAAAACAAACTTGAACCAGAAAAATAATTCCGTGCTATGCATTGTTGGGAGACGGTAATAGTAGTCTTACTAGTAGTAGTAGTAGTAGTAGTAGTAGTTATCTCAGTACGGGGACTGTTACTAATATGAAGGGACCTTATAACACAGCCAGTGAGAGATGATAAAGAGTTGGAAGGAAACAAAGCATTTATTTTGCACTTGCTATGTGCGAGGTACTGTGCTAAGCCTTTAACAAATATTCCATTTGATTTAGTGCTTGGCCCCTGATGGATAGTCTTTGTGCTAACCTAAATTGTCTCCATGGGCCATTGGTGTAGAGAATGTTCTTCTCAGGCATAGCCCTAGACAGGAGAGTGTCAGATTTAGGAATGGCCTCAAAGCCACAGAATGTCAGAGCTGGATGGGCTCTTAGAACATAGAACTGGGAGGAGCCTAAGAACACATAATATTGTAGTTGGGAAGGAGTCTCTTTTTTTGCATTGGGAGGAATTGCTTAATTTTAGTAAAAATAAAGTGCATGGCATCTCATACACAACATTCCGATACGATTTGTATCCACACAGTGTTCATGCTCTGAATTAAAACTTAAGTATGAACCACACAGGAGAGGAAAAGTAAAAGCATCTATACTGGTTGCTAATCTTAATTTCTGCCACTGCCTTAATCAGGTTAGAAGTATTGAAATTGTCATTGGTAATGAAGTTACTGTATGGGGAGGGGTTGCCAACAGATTTAAAAGAATAATTTCGATGTTACGTCACTGGATTACTAAGAAATATGTGTTATCAGAAAATTAAATGAAAAGGACAAAAACAGGAGTAGGTCAGAACTAGATAGTGCCTGAGAACAAAGAATGTCAGCCCTGGAAGGATCTTTAGAGTATAGAATGTGTGACAAGGATGTAACTAACTTATAAGGGAGAATGTTGGGTGTGGGAAAGTATAGAATATGGAAATGGAAAGCTGGGAGTACAGTCTGGATTTTGGAGGTCAGAATTGGGAGTAAACATAGAAGCCAGAATGGTAGACCTGCAAAGCACTTAGACCTTAGCTTTTCTGAGTTGGGAGGTGTCTTAAAATTAAAAATGCCCAACTTGGATGATACCCTAGATCTTGGAATATCAGAAGTGAGGAGGGAGGACCTCATAAAACTGAGAGCCTGAGAAAACAAGTTGTCAAAAGTAAGTAGGACTTGAAAACACAGAATGGTGAGCCTAGGAATAGCCACAGAGAGAAGACTGTCAGTGCTGGGAGGGCACATAAAAGAAGGGGGATATCAAACCTTGGAAAAAGCCTTCAGAATTAGGTGTCAGAAGTAGAATCATAGATTATCATTGATGAGAGAGACTTTACGACATGTAGATCTGGGAGGAACCTTAAAATGTACATTATTGTAACTGAGGTTTTTTTTTTTTGCTTGTGTTCAGTTGCTGAAGGTAATCAGGACAGGTTAATTTAAAAATAATAAAGTACGTGATAGAACATTTATTTTAGTGTAATTTGTGACAGCATAGTAATGATGCTCTGAATTAAGACTTGGGTCCTGAGCCTCACAGCCAAAAAGAAGATAAAGTACTTTATCTGGCTCAAAGACAAAAAAGTAATTCTATTCAATACCTTGATCAGATAAAATGGCTGTTAATATTACTATTTTTGGTAATGAATGGGCAGTATTTATAGAAAAAAATAAGGTGTTTTGTACATAGGACTTAATAGGAACAACATTTGTGCTTTTAAAATACCGTATTACTAAGATACATATGAAATGCAATAAATAATTCCTAGAAGACCAGAGCAGGTTGGGCCGTAATACAGAGAATGGGCTGGGAGGTGCCTTGCAAAGAAGAAAGTTAAAGTTGGGAGAAAGTTTATTATACAATATTTCCCAGCTGGAAGGGCACTGAGAACATAGGATGTTAGAGGTAGGAAAGTTTTCAGAATGAAGAATGCCGAAAGCAGTGACCTGAAAAGCACAGAATGGAGGCGGCTAGGTGGTACAGTGAATAGAGCACCGGCCCTGAAGTCAGGAGGACCTGAATTCAAATCTGGCCTCAGACCAAACACTTGTCACTAACTAGCTATGTAACCCCGGGCAAGTCACGTAACCCCGGGCAAGTCACTTAACCCCAATTACCTAAAAAAAAAAAAAAAAAAAAAAAAAAAAAAAAAAACAAAAGTACGGAATGCTGGAGATGGGAAGGGTATTAGAACTTCAAAGATCAGAGCTGGGATAGTTGGGAAGAGCTCTTTTAAAATTGCTTTTGATAGGTTAATTTTAAAAATAATAAAAGACATTTGTGGTTATCTCTGCAACTTTTTTTGTGGAATTTGTATCAGCACATTTGGGATGCTGTGAATCAAAACTTGGTTCCTTAACCACACTGCCAGAAAGGATAGGAAGGTGTGTGGTGCTTTGTCTGGCTCAAAAACAAAAACCAAAGAAGTAATTTCCAGGCAGTGTCCTAATTTGGGGAAACTGCTACTGATACTACTATTATAGGTAATAGGGAAGCAACGTTTATTGGTTAAAAAAATGAGGTGTTAAATCCACAAGATGTTAGAAAGACAGCATTCTTTTAAATCACTTTATTGCTAAGAAAAGTGTAAAAAATAAATCGATAGAAAAATATCCGATATGTCAGAGCAAGATGGGAATTTAGAAAATAGAATGTCAAGATGGAGAGGGTCCTTAGATTATTAGAACTGAGGCAACTAGATGGAATCAGGAAGGCCTGAGTTCAAATCTAACCTCAGATGCTTCCTATCTGTGACCCTGGGCAAGTCACAATATCTGCCTCAGTTTCCTCCAAGTGACTAATAATAGCACCTACCTCACAGGTGCATTGTGAGGATCAAATGGAATAAAATGAGAAAATATTTGTCAAGCACTTAGCAGAGTGGCACATAGATATTTAATAAATGCTTGTTCTCTCTCTTAGAACCAAGAATGACGACTGGGAAGAACCTTTTAAAGGAGGGAATAAGGAACTTAAAATGTAGAATTTTGGAGCTGAGAAACCCATCTAGGCACCTAATGTCAGAACAGGGAGTGGATAAAGAAGTCGGACTATCAGACCTGGGCGGGTACTTAAAAGAGGAAATATTTGGGCTGAGAGTTGTTTTAGAATCAAGAATTCATGTGATGGATGGGGCCCTAGAATCTGAAACACTAGAGGTAGGAGGCAAGTTATAACACAAAATGTGAGATGGTTAGAGCCTGAGAACACATTGTCTGAGTGGGGAGCTTAGGTCATAGAATTTAAGTCTTAGGTTTAGCCAGAAAGAAGGGAATTGTCAGATAAGGTGCTTAGAACTAGGATATCAGAGGTAGGAGAGCTCCTAGACCATAGAGAGTCAGAGTTGGGAGGAACCTTAGAATGCAGATCCCCAAAGTTGTGAGGTGTTTTAGAGGATGGTATCAAACTCATATAAAAATGAGCCCCTGCTAACCACATACTGACCTTTGTGGCTGCACTCAGGAGTTTTGCTAGCCAGAGTTTGACACTTCTGCTTTAGAACGCTTCCCAAAGCTAGGAAGGGAGGTTTTTTTGTCTTTTTTTGGGGGGGGAGGGGTGTTCAATGGATGAGAATAATGGAATAATCAGGTTAATTTATGAAATAATTAAAATGTATATGGTATGCTATGCAACTAAATGTTTCAATATCATATCAGCACAAGGGTGATGCTCTGAATTAAGGTCAGGTACTGAACCACAGAGCCAGAGAGAAAAGGTGAAAATATACTGCCTTATGTGGCTGAAACAAAACACCCTACGGAAAACAAAAGTAATTCCATGCAATGCTTGGATCCAATAAGATTTCCATTGATATTATTATTGATGATGGAGAGTATTTATTGAAAATAAGTACACAGGACATAAAAGGGACACCATTTGCCTTTTAAATCATTATTTTGTTAAGATACATGCGTGTTGTGATAAAATTAAAAATACCAAAACTGAGAAAAAAGGTTTTGTTTTGTTTTTTAGTGTACTTAGTCAAGGCATTGGGAAGCACAAGTAAATCTAAAAACCAGAAATACATTTATGGTATGATATGCAAGATTGATTTCCATGTAATTTCTGCCCTGTGATAAAGTATTCTATATTAAAATTCAGGTCCTGAACCAACACAGCCAAATGGGATTGGGGAAAATGCAGTGCATTATTTGGCTCCAAAGAAAGAAAGGGGGAAAAACAGACAAAAATAATAGCATGTAGTGCCTTAATCTGGCAAGATAGTACTGCTATTGATAAGAAACAACAAGTCTTTATTGAAAAGAATTAGGTATGAAGTACGTGGATTTTAAAAGGGGACAGCAGTTGTGCTTTTTAAATATTGTATTGCTAGGACACATATGCAGTGCCCTAAAACAAATATTTAAGAAATGAAAAGGAAAAATCCCTAGGATGTCCAAGCAGAGTGGATTCTAGATGTCTAGGCTGGAGGAGCCTTTCAAAGGAAAATGTTGAAGATGGGAGAGAGCTTAGAATAGAGAATCTGGGAGCACACAGAGAAACCAGAACAGCAGAGCTGGGTAAGCATTCAGAAGGAGGCATCTGTGAGCTAGGAGGCTTGTTTGAATCCAGAATGTCTGAGCAGGGTGGGGCCCTAAAACCTGAAATATCATAGCTGGGCAGTCAGGGAAGCCTTTAACATAGAAAGTGGGAAATGGTCAGAGCCTATGAAAATGTGCAAGCTAGGATAACACATAGAGTGGAGAATGTCAGGAGCCTTAAAATAACAGAATAACAGTGATGGAATGAGCCTGGGAGTATAGAACTTCTGACCTGTGTGGGACTTTAAAAGAAATAATGCTGTAGTGGGAAAGGATGTTTTTCTTTTTAATGTGCTCAATGGGTCAGTATATTGGGACCAACAAGTAAATTTTAAAAACAACTGCAAAGTATGTTTATGGCAAATAGTCAACATTAATTTTCAATATAATTTATTTCAGTGAGGTGGTGCAGCTCTGTTAAAACTCAGGGACCGAACTAACAGCCAAAAGGGATTGGTGAAAATGCAGTGCCTTATTTGGCTCCATAAAAGAAAAAAAACGGGCAAAAAAGTAATTCCATTCAGTGCCTTTATCTGGTAAGACTGCTATTCATATTTCATATTACTATCATTGGTAATGAATGACAAGTCTTTGTTGAAAATAATAAAGTGTTAAGTACATAAATTTCAAAAGGGATACCATTTATGCTTTTGAAATACTGTATCGATAAGACAGGTGAATGTCCAGTAGACATCTTAAATTCAACATGTCTAAAACTGAAATGATTATCCTTCCCCCAACTCCTCCTCCTCCCACCTTCCCTGTTACCATAGAAGGCAACACCATTCTCCCAATCCCTCAGCATGAAACCCTTGGAATCATCCTGGACTCTTCCTTCTCTCTTACCCCCCCCCCCAATCCAATTCATTGCCAAGGCCTATCAATTTCACTTTTGCAATATCTCTCAAATACATGCCCTTCTTTCCTCTGACTCTGCCACCACCCTGGTGCAGACCCTTATCCCCTCAAGCCTGGACTACTGCAATAGTTTGATGGTTGGTCTGGTTGCCTCAAGTCTCTTCCTACTCCAAACAATTCTCCATTCAGCCACCAAAAGTGTCTGTGGTTATTCTCAGGTATGACCATGTCACTCCCCTGTTTGATAAACTTCTTGGTTCCCTGTCACCTCCAGAATCAAACACACAATCCTGTTTCATGTCCAAAGGCCTTCATAATTTCCTCTCCCCCTCCACTGACCCACCCCCCCCAGTCCCCTCCCAGTATTTTTTATACCTTGGTCCCCAGCACATACTCTTCAATCTGGTGACACTGGCATCCTTGTAGTTCCATGAACAAGACATGACTCTGAGCATTTTCTCTGGCTCTGGCTATCCTCTATGCCTGGAATGCTTTCTTTTCCTAGTCTCTGCCTCCTGGCTTCCCTGTTTTCCTTTAAATCCCAATTAAAATCCTATCTTCTACAGGAAGCCTTTCTTAGCCTCTCTTAATTCCAGTGCTTTCTCTCAATTCCAGTGCTTTCTCTCACTTAATTATTTCTTATTTATTATGTATACAATTGTTTGTACATAACAGATTGCTTATTGTCTACCCTAGTTAGACTGTAAACTCCTTGAGGGAAGGAACTGGTTTTTGCCTCTTGTATCCCCAACCCTTTACCACTGCCTGACACAAAGCACAGTAGGCACTTGATAAATGTTTATTGACTATATGACTAATATGTAGTGTAATAAAATAAACGTTAAGAAATGAAAAGACAAAGTTCCTAGCATGTTAGAGGAGATGTGACCTTAAATAATCTACTGTCTGAGCTGCGAGGTAGATTTGGTAGTCCAGATTGTTAGAAGTGGGAGAGAGCAGTGAGGGAAGTCCTGACCCTGAACAGCAGAGTAGAAAGGGGCCAGAGTAGCAGGCCTGGCTGTACATTTACAACTGAGCATTTATGAGCTGGGAGGCATTTTAGAATCCAAAATGCCTAATGCTGAATGGGGCCCTAGAACCTGCAGTGTTAGGGGTAGGTTATGGGATATGTTCCAACCTAGAAAATGGGAGATAGTCTGAATCTTAGAACACAGAACCCTGGAGAGCTTAGCACACAGAATGTCAGGCCAAGAGCATGTAGAATAGAACAGGTCAGAAGTAGGAGTGACCTGAAAATCACAGACATGGGGCAGGCTTAGAATGTAGTTCTTCTGACCTGTGGGGGCTGTTCTAAAGAACACTCAATATAGTGGAGAAAGTTCTTCTGTTATGTTTTTTAATGTACTTAGTGGGTTAAGGTTTTGGGAAACACCAGTAAATTTATAAACAATAAAAAAGTGAAATTATGCCATTA